AGAGATTTAGGTACGGGTCATCGCCAACTGAATAAAGGTTAAGGCCGGCGGAGGACGACCAGGAATTGCTCAACCCAGGACATCTACCTCGAGGACAGTGGAACCATATATATCTATTTATACAGAGATATACAAATACTTGGTTACACAATTTCAAGAGAGACAGAGAGAGAAAGTGAAAGGTGGGACTTGTAAAGAGTAGAGAAGGGAGAATAAATAGCGCACGCGCTGTGAAAGTGATACCAGTGAGTTATTTTTTTTGTAGTTAGTGCCCCGAAGTCCCCTTTTAGTTTCCTTTTTAGGAGTGTTCGGCGTTCCCGAGCCGAGCACCAGCGGCAGACCTCCCGGAGGAGAGGAATCCAGTGGAGAGGGACGAGGAGGAGTAAGTAAGCGAGTTTTGTGAGAGAATTCGGGACGGCTGTTTTCTCGGCTGAAAAATTCTCGTCACAACGAGGAACTCAAGAAAGGGGGCGGTACAATCATAAGTTAATTCATGAATAAGATTGTGCAAATGCACCACTAGTAAAAACACTAAAAGGCAACAATTATTGTTACCATTACGATTCCATATGCACTTATGATTGAGTTATCTGCTAATAAAGTTTGCATTCATATTGTTGTGGTACAGCGGTCACTATTTTCATCTGATTTCTAATGACCTCGCTGTACTCTAGATGCTTCACCAGCTTTCCTACGGTTTTATTACCAGGTATATTATGTATTTACGAGGATCTCAAGTAAGGGGACAGTACGATGAGAAGTTAATTTATGAATGAGATTGTGCAAATGCACCACTAGTATAATCACTAAAAGGCAACAGTTATTGTTACCATTACGATTCCATATGCACTTATGATTGAGTTATTTGCTAACACAGTTTGCATTCATCTTATTGTGGTACAGAAGTCACTATTTTTATCTGATTTCTAACGACCTCGCTTTACCCTGGATGTTTTACCAGCTTTTCTACGGTATTGTTACCAGTTATCAATTCCGTATCTTCAAAAATGGCAAGGCTATCGCTTTATTTGACAGCATTTATTATTATTTCGATGTATGCAGGCTGTTTCACAAGCTTTGCTATAGTTTTAATACCACACATTCTATTTAGAAATGAGCATGGATTTCTAAAGGACGAAACATATCAACTGATAATTTTAAAAAACTCTTATGATTTAAAGTACTTTTCGGTAATTTATCAAGTTTCAACCAAAAGTATTATTTTTATTATACCTAAAAACCTTATCCTATGACGTTTTATCAGAGCTCAATGAACAATATAAACGACGAACTAAGATTGTTTTTGAAGGATAAAATTAGTCATCCTACAACCTAAAAAGATGCTTTAAAGCAGCTGATGTAAAATATTGAGTTTCTGAGTTGGTTGTTAAAAAAACATTTAACAAGGTAATGTCTTTTACAATAATATATAAAAATTGTTTCTAACATTTATTCGTATACAATTATGTAACTTTACTTGAAATGGTGGTAAAACTGTTTGTCGAAGTATACTTATTTGCGATTCTTGAGTAAAAAAAGATTTTTGGAATGGATATAAATTTTATAGAAGTGATTAATATATGTGAGTGTGTAGGCACGCTCACGTTTATGTGTGTGTCCATGTGTAAGTGTAAGTCAAGCTTACCAAATCACAGCAATTTTAACAATTTTTGAAAGCTATAAAGAGTTAATAAATAAAAATCGATTACTTATCGGCACAGAAATCATTCGAAATTTTTTTTATAATTTCAGGTATAACGGAAATCCGGAACTGTTCATTTCCATTGTAAAATCTAAGCTTTTCCACTAGGTAATTCCAGAAAAAAAGGTTCAGCTTTGGTTAAAGGAGATGCACTTCTTTAATTTTTAAATCATTAGTAAGTATTATTAAGTAAAAACCATTGTCTTAGTATCTAAACATTATTTTTTTTTAGCATACAGAAGTTTCGAGAGAAGGGAATAATATCTCGAGCAAGGAAGGAAACTCTTCGCACTATTCGTATTAGAAAAGGAGTTTCATTCACATCCTTCGGTTTTAATGAGGTTGCCCCACTATTTGTATTTTTATTAAGTGGATTTGCCCTCAGTCTGATCGTATTGTTATGTGAAAAATGTCACAGACGTATTGTATTGTATTTAGTAAGAAAACTATGTAGAAAAATCAAGAAAATTAAGAAACTGAAGAAAACCAACGAATCAAGAACAAAAGAATGATATATTATGTATTTACAAGGAACTCAAGAAGGGGGGCGGTACAATGAGAAGTTAAATTATGAATTAGATTGCGCAAATGCACCGTTAGTTGAATCACTAAAATGCAACAGTTATTGTTACCATTACGATTCCATATGCACTTATGATTGAGTTATCTGCTAATAAAGTTTGCATTTACATTATTGTGATACAGGGGTCACTATTTTCATCTGATTTCCAATGACCTTGCTGTACACTGGATGCTTTACCAGCTTTGCAACAGTGTCATTACTAGATACGCCACTTTGAGATGTACATACAAGCAAAAATTACGGAAGCGCCTATACGCAATAATTACAGGGGTCGGCTTTTTGGCTTCCGCTGAATAAGAATCTGAAAAAGAAGCTAGATTGAAAAGTTAGTGAGATTTTGGCGTGTGTACTACAAAAACATTAACAATATTAATAAACCAGTCGTTAGGATTCGGGTTGACAAAGAAAAAAATCTGTACTGACATTTTGGGAGACTTTTGTGTGCATTTATAGCCGAGAAATAAGCAACTTCAGTCTTATAAAACCAGTCGTCAGGATAGGCCGGGAAGAACGTTTAGGACGGATTCTGACACTCTTGTTAGTTTATTACTTATCAACGTGAAACTTGCTCCAACGTTTTTTGCAATTTTTACTTACTATTTTTTTTTTTCATTGTTTCTGTAGTATTTATAATTATTAGTCCAAATACAATTATGTTAATTTTAGGGTGAGATGGGCTTGGAGTAGTATTTTTCTGTCTAGCAATTTATAAATATTATCAAAATACAAATAGATACAATTCAGGAATATATTTTTATAAAATCGAATTGGACATATTAAAATATAGTAACAATTATGACAATAAAAATTGGTGACTGGCAGAGTTTATTTTCGTCACTTCTTTCTTAAGGACACGGATCTTCTTAACCAATCACCGACTAGGACTCGCTTTTCCGCCAAAGAGCGAGAGGAGAGGCACAAACATGTAATAAACTATGAAGACAAGGTTATTGGACGACTTAATTTTTTAAACATATGTCATAAGAGTTTTTGACTCGTAAAAATGTACGCACACAGATGTTCACTTAGAATTAACTCAGTAATGTTAAGCAAAGAAATATCAATATTATTTTTCACTATTTAATAAAAGCTAACAACGCTAAGCTGGAAGTTGTGTTGTAATAGTTTAGATGTAAGGAGAAATATCTGCTGTTAATGACCAATTTCATAAACGTTTTTTAAATTTCTAATAAATAAAATTACTAGGAAAGTGTCAAAGAGAAACTAATAACGTGAATAAGTAGATAAATATTAAAATCAGAAATAATTAAGTAAAAAAAAACAAAAACAGTTGAATAAGTTTCAACCTTTTTTAAGGGCGCTGAGTTCTCAATTTGTGGATTTGTTGTTAGGGCTGTATTCCGCCAATGCTGCCAGCACCCAGTACTCAAGTTATGTAGGTCATGGTAACCCCGCATGGTCGATCCAAATCTATTCACGGACTTACAGCTTGGTGACATGAAGCCTTCACAACTGTGGTGAAAAATGAAAAGTCTCGCAAGCACTCAGATTATTTATGATGTTAAGTGTCATTAATTTACACTAGAATACACACAGAATTTACTTAAGATTTTCGAACCAGATAACACCGAACCGTAAGTGGTCGCGATTAGATTCATCCAAATCTATTCAGGGACTCACAGCTTGGTGACATGAAACCCTCACAACTGTGGTGAAAAATGAAAAGTCTCGCAAGCACTCAGATTATTTATGATGTTAAGTGTCATTAATTTACACTAGAAAACACACAGAATCTACTTAAGATTTTTAAACCGGATAACACTGAACCGTAAGTGGTCGCGATTAGATTCATTCAAATCTATTTAGGGACTCACAGCTTGGTGACATGAAACCCTCACAACTGTGGTGAAAAATAAAAAGTCTCGCAGGCACTCAGATTTTTAATAATGTTCAGTGCCATTATTTCGTACCAGAGAATACATAAAATCATGTTTAGGTTTTTAAACCCAGACAAGACTGAACCAGAAGTGATCGCGAATGGATTTATTTAAACCAAATTCAGTTACAACCAATGCCTTTATTTTAATCGAGCATCTTTTTATAATTAGATAATAAAGAAAGGTTGTGACAGTTGAGTTTAGTATGAATGGTCAATAGTCTCATACTACTATACCTGAGTTTTGGATTATGTTAAGTTTATCTCGATTTTAGTTATAAATGTGTGATTAAAAATATTTATGCACATGTATGATAAATTTTTGGTATTTACACTTTGAAATAAAGCGTGCTTTCAAGTGTTTGGACTAAAAATTGGAACAAAATGTAAAAATTATAAAGGTATCTTGATTATGATATAAAGAAAATCAGCTCTATACAAAAACTTGGTAGCATCAATAATTGAAGATGCACATTTTTAGTTACAACGACCATTGTATAATCAAAGCATCGTGTCTGTACGTGCTTGAAAGTTTTTGTTGGTTTAAGTGTAATGTAAAGTTTTTATGTAAAAATACTTTTCATTAAATTGCTATTGATTGAAAACTCTCGATTAAGTACATACTCCGATATAAAATTAAAAAGAATGCAACAAACACTTTTCAGTAAATTGAGCTGTTGTAAAATAAAATAGCAGCAAAAATTAATTATATCTTGCGACAGTGAGTCATGTGATTGATCCTAGGGGAGCTTTGCAATTTTTACGAATGAGCATACACTCGCTACACTAGGGCCTACTTATTTATTATTTCTACACACCCGTATCCGTGTTCTGCCTTGATTGCCGATATCGTGAATTGCTCCCTGTACTTGGAAAACGCTCTTGGAACTCTCGACGACGGTTCATTGATTCCTCTTGTCTTTGCCGTTTCCGCCTTTCTACAAAATTATACACTGATGTTAAATTAAAATTTTTGGGCTTGCGCATAGTCTGAAAAGTAACTACTTTACTAACAGGTGATATACAAAAGAGTTCGAAAGTTAAAAAGTTTGCATATTGAGGTTAAAAAAATAATCTATATAGGGAAATCGATGGACTAAATGTAGTGGTTGTGACTCTGCAAAAATGAGTTTTTGTAGTAGCTGATCCGAAAAATTCCGAGTATTAATAAGAGGTATTTCAATTAAAGCAAGTTGTGAAAAATTTTTCGACTACTACAATTATTCAGTTGCGACTAAAACTTCTCGCATCAGATTTATTGAGCAACCCCTAATTTTTGTTGGGTATATTATTCTAGATCAATTACTATCGAAACTAAATTCTACAGAACCACGACAAGATATTTAATCCTTCGCTGATTGCTTTAATACTAGTCTTTATGTGCAAAATGTTAGAAAAATTACCGTGGCACACTTGGGACATTATATACTTCTAAGGGCATGATGTATGCACTATTGTTTGAATGCCTGTGTTAGTTTATTCGATATTTTATCAAAGAGTACAATTACCTCTTTTAATTAAATCACGTCCTTCTTCAACAAGATCAGTAGTGAGCTCATCATCCCCTAAAAATTGTTGAAAACCAAGAATGGACAGCAAACGACTGCCAATACTGAAATATGTTGCCAAGCAGAATGCAAGAATGCCCATGGGAAAATATATATTAAATCCATCAGACACAATTTTTATGACGTCCATGTGACCCATCACCTATAATTATCAGTAGATTATCATTTTACATGAATATTAATTTTAATAGTGGTAGAAGCTGAAGTTGTTATATTACCTGCGTGTATTGTGTTTCCATAACTTGTGTTTTAATTATGTGCGAATCCATGTGAATTAAACTCAAAAAGTTCAAGCACAATGGAGGAGTCAGTCGACACAACATCATGCCACTGAATATTAAACTATACTCGTTAGTTTGATGATGAGGTGCTAAATAATATAAATTCAATACTCTTATTTTCAAAATAGTCGAGTATGCACAGTAGCATAAGTAAGCAATCACTAACGTGGAAAGTATCTAAAAATGTTAGATTATGTATAAACCACTAGTCATATCATCATTGAAACCAAAATAATTGAGCAAGACATCAAGTTACCTCGATTGTGAAGTAATCATAATTATCTCTAGCTATATCGACAAATTGTGCGAATATTGACAATTTGGGCGACTTATTGAAGAAAGTTACTTCCGACCACACAACAGCTAGTGACAGCACACCTGCCACTATAGCCAACATTTTTTGCACATAACTCTTAATAAAACACTTCCAATACCATTCTAAAATAAAAATCAATGATTGAGAAATAAAAATAAATATGCCTCTGTGATTTTTTTTTTTCATTACCTAGTGTGGGAGTATAACAAGAATTTAACAGCCATGGACGTTGGACGGGGAATGATGGTTTGAATCTCCGGTCGTGACTAGTTTGATTTCTAGAAATATCCTCCAGATCAAAGACACTGTCCACTAAAATCCCCCATTGCGTTTCTGTTCTTTGCAAAGTTTGCAGGGATTTTATTGTCTAAAATCAAACGCAAACTGTTAGTAATACGTCAGTATTTTCAAATATTTAATTTATAAGTAATGTATACACTACATTTCTATGCAATCGAATCAATATTTTTTCCGACGGCACATCGATTGGCGTATCAGCAGGCAATTGTCTTCGATTCATCTTATCTTTAAGCTCTGCTGGAATTTTTTGAAATATTGTTTCAAGATAGTAATGAAAGGGATGTCCTGGATTAATTGCTAAATTTGCAGCTTGCAATGACTTAAACAAGAGTAAAAAAATTCTTAGTATCAATTTAACTATGAACTTTGATAAAACAACATTTCCTACCTCTAAAACATCATCCACATGTTCTTCAGCTTCGTATTTTTCGATATTCAATTTAGCAGCCTTGAAATAACTGTAATGTAAGGTATATCCGGGCTTGCTAGCATTCCACAGGCCACGTGGAACTTCAACAAGAGCATAGCCTAGCAACAGTACTAACAAAAATAGACCCCAAGTGTTTGATGCCGATGAAGCAATAGCTTTGATTTTTGGCCTGTAATAGTATTAGTTATGTTATCAAATAAACTCATAAACGAAAATTTTGAAGTTATTTTTAACGATCCATACCCATCAAGATCTACACCTGGTTTCACTGCCAAGTAAATAAGCAGCACACCACAAATGAACAAATAACTGCCATAATAAATAGCATTGTCAATCAATGCTGATTTTAATTTTCCTTGTACAGTAAAGTCTCCAGCTTTGATGTAACTCTGCATCAATGGTAAGATCAGCCACGTTAAAAATTGGGAGGTCCAATATACAACTCTCCAGAAATTATGATAAACAGTGTCTGGGAAAGGCACCATAGACCAAGGCGCCTTGCATTTGTGGAACGGCCTAAGAGTTGTGACATTTTCAGATACCGTTGTTGCAGTTATGTTGTCCGAATTCTCCACGCATTGGCGAAATACAGTCTGAAAATATGAGCTAGTCAATCAGGTTTCTACATTTTAGAAAAAAAAATATCTATAAGGAGATAGAATCTCCAAGAAATGTATATTCATGCAAAACGTGTTGTTTAACAATTCAAAGTACCAGTCATTAAACTCACCGAAGACACATCCAAGGGCAAAACAAATATAATTAGCAGGGAAAAGTACCAGGCCACCAATACGGACAGTGTAACGATGGGATGATGGTGAAACACATTCCCGTACCTGTACAGCAGAGTGGCCGCGAGGCAAAACGCCACCACAACTTCCGAGACGAGAGGAGCTAACGACATGTCTCTCTTTCAAGTATTTACGAAAAAACAATAAATAAATAAAAGTCAACAGCAGCTCTCCACCAACAAACGGCTGTGCCCCATAACTCAATGCTCGCCGCCGCTGTTGTTGCTAGTCACGTTTTCGGAGTTTTGCATCATCACCTCATTGAGCTTCGCCTCGGCGTCCTTTTGCATCTTTTCGAGCTTCTCGAGGGTAACAGACTTTAGGGGCATCAGCTTAGGCTTACAGAGTATGTAATCCGGCACGTCTTCGCTGTACAGGATTCCCTGTTGCGGTACGACGACGTCGATTACGGAGTCACTTTTCGTTTTTTCCTTTCCCGTCGTCGTGGTATCAGATGACGACATATTGATTGCAACGGCAAGAGTGACGACGACGACGACGGTTGGTGTTTGCCATATATAAATATGGCGTTGCCTGACACGTAAGAGGGTTGCCTAGTTGCCCTTTGCCCAAACTCAATCTATGTTGTAACACCTAAAACATATACGTACGTGGATGTTTGTATTGAGCTTGGAGACCTTGGCTTTGACTTGGGGCTTGGGGTGTTGGGGTTTGTTAATGTACTTTGTACATGCAGGTCCTACGGTGACTAACATTTGGTGTACCTGATTGTTGATTAATTACAAATATAAATAGGTAAATTACACAAATGCACAAGAGTTGAATGTGATAAAATAAAAATCTATGCAAGAGAATTCTAGTGGTTGTACAAATGACTAAAGAGGGGGGAAAAAAACAAAATAAAAAGTAGGATGCAAGAATGAATTGACAAAATAAACGTTGTTGATTTTCACGCCTGACCTTTACTGCTGGACGAGTGGATGATGCTTATGAATGTTACGCTCGACCTGACGACGTAGGTTAATCGCCCCTCCTGTGCTGGGGTGGTATTCCGTAACTTTTTTTCACTGCGTGAGCTTATGTTGCACTTAGCAGCCGAGCCGAGGCCAGCCAACTTATTACGGAATATCACTCCTGTCCCTGATCACTGGCCTGATGACTGTAATGACCTACTGGTAATGACCACATGCATGGCGTTCATTGCCCGTGCTGGCTTCTAATTTTTGCACCATGCACTATGCAGTTCAACATTGACATACTTACGCGAGTATTCAGATAAATCTACCTCCAAAAGTATAAATATGTAGGTCGACTTTGGGGTAAAAAATAAATTGCAAACTTGCCGCAAATAGCAATGTCACCGTTACCTTTTTGTTTTATATCTTCAACATTAGTTGCGGCTGGTTTACAATTGATTAAATGGCTCTAATCTCATATGCTCTGTTTCAGAATTTTAGGAGCCACTTTTGGCGAAAAAATGAAAACCGCTAGATGGCGCTGATCAAAACAATTATTACTATATATATACTTAAAGTGAGTATAGAGCCATATCATCATCATCAATTATATATAAACCAGCCGCAACTAATTGTATAGTATAGATAGACAATAAAACGTTGTCATTGTCTATGCTATTTGTGGCAAGTATACAATTTAGCTTTCACCCGAAAGTCGACCTCCAAAAGTATAGATATTCTACTTATATGGTTTGATAAAACGACCGTAAGTGTGGCACTATTTAGTAGTGATACTAGTGATTACTGATATACTGATATACTGATTACTATAATTACTACACACGTACCACAACTTCATGTATATCTTACAATGTGCTCTTGATAGGTGAAGTGCGGGACGATTTAAGCTCTACATCGTGCACAATTCACACGCAAAAACGAACTGTTTTCTAGCTTTACATTCATTTTTATCATAATTTATCGAAAATTTTTTAATTGTTCTTAGTTCAATGAGATTTCAATAAAATAAAACGTTTTTACGAAGTTAAGCATCCTTTATTCAAATTTATTCATTTATTCATCAAGTTTGAGAAAAAATCTCGTAGTTACGACATTTTTTAGTTTTTAGATTGGTACTTTAATACTTGGTTTTTTTTTCAATTTAAAAAAGAAGTGTTGAATTATATGAACTGTATTTACAAAATTCGTAATATTTGTTACCCAAGGGTGTTGCTTAAGGGTGTTAGAGAAAAACATTGTGCGAAAACAATGTGAAGACGAAAAGAATAGCAAGACGTTCTAACAAACGAAATTAGTTTTATACAGTATAGAAGTTCAATAGTCTGATTTTCCAAAAAATATGTTCATTTATTTACAAAAGTACAAACTTGCGCTACTTTACATGATTCGTATGATACAACGCCCAATCGGTCTATTTTGGACTAAAAAAAATATCATCTATAATCTCTTCTTTTCAATGTCAATAGTATACGCAAAAGATCGTCAATCATTTTACTATGAATCATTTAAAAACAAAAATATAGTATTAGAAATTTCCTTTAATTATCAATCATGATGGGATTGCACTAAAACGATTAGATTCTACTGTCAGAATCACGTTTAAAAATATACATTTAAATCACAACCATCGCTACCAATGAACAATAGAAAATCAGTCGGGTAGCTCAGTTGACAGCTTTGAAGTTTATTTTAAACCATCAAAGCAGTCCAAGTTTTTGTTTCTTAAAAGCTAAAATTTGTTTTAGTACGTTAAAATTATTTTTTTATAAAGGAACTTAAAATGTAAAATAAAACATAAAAACTTGGCACATTAAAAAAAATTAATACTAACTTAAGTATTTAAAAATGAAGTTGTAAAAGTTATCGTCTGAAAAAGATTTAGTTATGAGATAATATTTTAAGTTTCCTTCTTTCTAGTGAGCTATTATTAGAGGCGATGTACTGGCAATTATTGCATCTAATTTTTTTTCTACAAATACTCGGATCAAATGTTTTCTTCCTTAAAATAAATAGAATTTTATTAATCCTCATGTTGGATTACGATATCAAACAAAAATTAACTTAAGCGTCCTTTACTATGGCCAAACATGATATTTCTTGACTCTGCAGAGGTGCGCTAAACATGGAGCTGAGTGGGTTCAGCTTCAGATCTTATGCTTATCACAGATGTATCGCTACAACACATCCGATCAAAGATATTCTGTACTTTTGACTTTGAGGTGCATAATGTGCATCCTAAAATTTTATCTGCGCGATTTAGAAGTCACTCTTTGTTGTCCAATTATTCTTGAAAGACACTGAGTATTTTCAATTTTTTTCAAAAGTAAAATATGTACAAATTCAAGTTAATTGTTGCTAAAAAATCATTAAAAGTTATGTATGCCTCTGTTATACTTTGAGGGAGTCGAACTTATCATGTTCATTGCGTTCTCCCAGTCTGTCAATTGAACGTCTTCGTCGGTGTGAGTCGTCCGTTCATTCCAGCGTTGCTTCTGCTTGGTCAGAGAACTGTAGCTATCAGTATTTGTAATGTTGCTAGTTAAATTACTGCTACTACTGTAGGTTTGATAACCAGTATCGTGATGTGAACTGGATGCCATTTGCTTTACATAATTGCCAGACAACATTTTGCTCTGTTGTAGAGCATAGTTTTCGTTGAAGGGCATCTTACTGTCTTCGATACACTTTGATTTACTAGTCCCGTTCAACATATTTGGAGCAATGTTCTCCTTATTTTCGTACCTGAACACCACCGAGTTTTCATAAGATATGGCCATCTGAGTGATGTCATTATAAGTATCGTTGTCAGAGTGATGATGAGATACTGTTCCTGACATCTTTATTTCCTCAGAGGAAAATAGAGTTTCACCTGAAAATAATATACATATTAATAATCCTAGACTAATCATTCAAGTGCCCTTATAGTGTTCTTTAATTTAAGTAAAAGTATAAGCTATATATGTAGCATAAAAATGGATAATTTAGCTTAGTTTAAATTATTGTATCAATTTGACATAGTCAAAATCATATGAAATAACTTACACAAGATTTTATCATCCTTGTTTTTGTAATCTTCAATATCAATACTCATATCGTTGGTAAAGTCAAGCTTGGCCACTGATTTACGAGACTTGATACTTTGGCAGGACATGTTAAATCCAACAGGATTGCTTATTGGTGAAACATCGCACGGTGAAGACGTGTGGCTACAAGCTAGTGGACTTCCATAAGTCCTTTGAACGATCTGAGAAGCACTCTGAAAAACAAATATTGTACAATGCAAATGCTAAATTATACATTGTACTAAAAATTAACAGGAATAACATACTTTTATTGGAGTACCATGGAAGAACATTCCACTCTGGGGTGGGCTCAAGTCATGATTCAGAGGACTTTTAGATCGTTTTGGAGGTGTTGAAATCGAATTGCTCGAATCATCCTGAGAATCGTCATTGTTAAAGAATAATTTTCTCCTCAAAGATGTATTACTGTTGTTAGCTTCTTCAGTTTCACAATTTTGGTCCTACAAATTACAGTAATAACATATATTTCAAATGTATCAAATATTTGAACAACTTGTAAACCTGTATACTACCTGTGTAAAATTAAAATAAGGTTTGAGTATTTCTTCTACATGTGGTGGCAGTATTGGAGGTAGAGTTAAAATTGTTTGAGCCGAGTCTATAATGTATTAATTACTTAATTTATCTGAAAAATTATGGTTAAATGGTGCTTGAAGGTAATACTTACTGTCTTTTTTTTCCTTCTTTTGCCTCAATATTTCTTTGGATAAATTTAACTGTTCTTGACTCTTTACTGGAGTTTCCATGTCATCTCGTTTGTTGTAATCGTTATTTTTGTCATCATAAGGACTAGGAACAATTTGATTTTCACTGAAAAACCTACTTATTGCTTCTTGTGCATGTATTTCAGATTCTGGATCTGAACAGTACGTCTGTTGCATAGGGAATTCATCAATTTTGGCAGGATGTATCAATGCCAACTCATCAATGTTCCACGTAAAACCAGGAGATTTTTTATGAGATGAATTGGGAACCTATAACATAATTTCATCTTAAAGCCTGATTTGAACAATTTTGAATTGAAATATATAGCTAAATTAAATCAAAAAGAAAAAAAAGGAATACTACTATACCTTACTAAACACTGTTGGACTCATAACTGAAACGTGCAGTTTACTCGTCAGCTCTGCTTCAAATGGGTTTCTGGCAATAAATTTCGTTAATCCTGATGGTGGTGTGATGTGATGTGGTAGAAGAGATAAGTTGTTGGTGTGATTCTGATAACTAGTTTTTAATCTAATGCCGCTTTGACGTATTGGTGTTTTTGTAATGGGACTCAGCATCATTATACTATCACAGTTTATTTTTCTCCTGTTTGGACTCCAGCTGAACGAATCCATGTCACTTCTCGTTGAAACAAATTATAAAGGAAAGTATTATGCTTGTTATACAATATCTATTGAATTATACCTTATTACAAGATATTAAAAAACTACTTATACTCTGCATTACAAAACGTATAAGAGAGAAAGTAGTTGGTTGATCATGAATTAAATGTGATACTTGTAAAGTAAATTTAAAACGCAGAACTTGGTTAAATTTCAATTTATCTAAAAGAAAAATTTTGTCGTACATGCAAAAAGCAATGTAGCACGAAAAAAAGGGAAAATATACCGCGAAAATCTTTATAAAAAGCCTTGGCCAAACCAACTACCTATTCAATAAATGCAATCACAACCACCTAACCAACAATCCTCTCTCGATACAAATGATTGAAACATTAAAATAGTCACAAACCTTCACTTTTACCAGAAGAATAAATATCGTAATGATTTCAATTAACCATATGCTATCGTGCGAACAATTTGTTTGATTCGTTTTTAACAACTGCGTTTAGACGTTCAGCGGTAATTCCGACTTCTTTTCGGCAAGGCTAAGTTAAATCAAAGTTGTTATGAGAGTATATACAAAAAGTAAGTGTTTAAATTTGATGACGTCACACGTCCAAAGTCCAACGAATTTTAAAATGCGCTTGTAGATGATGCAGGGATCCTGGGGATCCTGCTATATTACCAACGGTTGACTAGTTGACTACCTCTGCATGACAACCTTTTAAAGGTTTCCTTCGACATTGATCTACTAGATGGCGCTGTTTTTGAATTGCGCAAATACGCATGCGCGACTAATCCCAGCAGACATTTTGTTTGAAGATTTCGTATAGATGTCTTCTAGACGTCGAATGTCCATCTGAAAGACGTCTTTACAACATCAAAGATGCCTTTCAGGTGGACATTCGACGCCTAGAAGACATCTATAAGAAATCTTTAAACAAAATGTTTGATGGGATGATCTCGGGGTCTCCCCTCCGCCGCCGTCTCTCTCGCCGCTCCCACCAAAAAATTTCCAAAAAGTAAAATTAATAAACAAGAGACCTACTTAATACCGATAGAAAACGCTGATTGTGACTTGAAAATCCAGAAAATTCATTCATCGATCATATAAAATATGTAAAAATGTATAACTATATACGTACCTGCTTTCAATCGTTATAGCTCTCGTTGATAGTCTACTGATATTTTAACATACTTTCCTTTTTATAAATGAAAAATTTAAGAGTCATTATGCAAAGTCTATCAATGTAATCTCAATCGTTTATGAAGAGTCATTGACATATTGATAATTTGTATTTATGATGAATTTGTGATACCTATATGTGTTTGTTGCACATAGGTAATTCACAGAATTATAAAATGTATGTGTGTGTAAGTAACTTATAAGATATTCTCCAAGTGAATCATTTGTTATTCTCCGTCATTTGCGAAATTTCTCTGTAAAACACAGTTCAAATGGTTTATAGTTTAAAAAAAAACCTTTTTTAAATTTGGAGTGAAATAGCTGATTATTCATTTAGAATTTTTTTTCTAGTAGTAACGCAATTTAATACACCAATTAAAAGTGAAAAATATTTTTGCCTATTCAAAGACTCATTTTATAATTAAGTATCAGTACTGTCATATACAAATTAAAAAATAAATGTTATCCAAATTAAATTAACTGATGTTTCTGACAGACATTCGGATAGAAAAGTTATTTTTTCCATCCAAATCTGAAATAATATCTATTTCTTTTACCCAGCCATTGAAATGATCCATATACTTATTAGTTATTAAAATTGTCATATAAAAAAATTATCCATCAATATTTATACAATCTACATGGTAAATCTCTCAAAGAAATACAACTCAATTAATAAACGGAGATTATCCAGAACGAGTTCGATTCTCAATATTAGACTTTGCCAAAAACTATCAATAAAATAATTATTATCTTAAAATACCAAAAAAACTGCGTATTATGTGACATTTTCATTATTTTTTATGGAAACACATAAGTATCTTATACAAAATATACATAAATATATTTTTTAATAATTTTGTAAAAAGTAATTTGATTATACCTATTTTGGTGTAGTGCATCAAGTTTAATTCTTTAAATAAGCAGTGGAGTATGAAGAAAATTTATATTTGAGCGCACTAAAGTTATAGTTTTTATTTTGCTCACAAAAAAGTTTGACGAAAAGCCAGATTTGCCTCGCAGTTTGGATTATTAACAGAATTGTTGCTATTTTAATAATTTAAACGATTAGTCTTATTTCAGTGAGATTAGTGGACATATGTTGTTACTAAATACACATTTTCAATATCTATCATAACATTAAATTGGTACTGTTGCCTTTTTAGATTAATAAAAGTATTTTAAATAAAAATTTCCGAAAACCTATCGTGACAATGTTTTCAAGAAATTACCATTAAAATTTTGATCCAAATGCTACTATTACCAATTATCTAAATATACAATGCGAGTCAGATTAAAAGCTTCTAAAGAAAATAGATTGAAAGTTTAAAAATTTTTCAGAAGAATGATATTTGAGCAAACAAAATTTCAAGTGGTATTGGGTGTTTAAAAGTAGTAGGTAATGATCAGTTTAGTTTCTCTAATTTTAAATAAATAATTTTTAATTCGATTGAAGAAAAATTACAAATAATCATCATTGGAATTCAATAGTTACCATGAATAACAAAAACTGTCCAAATAATAATAAAAAACATTCATAATTAGGTATAAAAAAATTGTTAACTATATATATATTATTCAACTGACTTAAGAGGAAATCGGAACCAATTTTATCATATTTTTGTGAGTGGCACACATTCATTAATTCAGCAGTAAAATATGAAAGTAATGAGTTTTTTCCACTTCATTCACAGAAGTAGAGATAATACATTAACAGGCACACGCACATCCGTTTGTTAATACGTGTGTATTCATAAAAAAAGGAATGAATAAAAAACATTTTTTTTTACAGTAACATATGAAAACTGATAAAACTATCTACATCATTCACATGTTGGAATAATTAATTCGAATTTTATTTATAATCCACTTGTTATTTCAATGTTTTGTACATGAAAAGGAAATTTCCAGTTGAATTTTTTCACGAATTTAATTAAAACTACTAAACAAACACTTGACAAAAATAAATAAAATTAATGTAATAGATTTTTGTATTAAATTTTTCATTTTAAAAAATTATCGAAAAAAGGAAAGAGCTTTAAAACATGAAAATTTACTGTTATCGTTAAAAGTCGTTTCAAAGGAATTATTTTTGATGTACAATTTTCCAGCATTGTATTACTTGCCTATTGATATTTTATTCTGTTGTTTCTCGTTAGTAATTTTACTATATGCATAATTAGAGGGTGCTTATTACCTCAGTATATCATGTTTTTTTCTTCAATTTTTTATACACAATGCAAAAAAAGTTATGCGATTTGAATTAACACCTAAGATGTACATATAATTTAATGTTGATAAAAAATTCTTCAGTCATGGTGCATATGGTACAAACAATTTTTAATATAATCCATTAATTTGTGAGAAAACTAAGCTATAATCAATCACGGTACAACTAATAATGACATTGTTGCATAGAAACTGTAAAAAATGAAATTTTCTAAAAAGCCTCGCATGTACCCTACAACAGCTGCCACATTTTAGCATCCTTGTTTCTCCAAACACCTAAAAACACCTGCTCCATTTTTCAACGAATGATAATCACAAGTACCGTTCTAATTATACATCCTGTATGTATCGAACGTGCCCATGTATATACATCTTTTTTTTTTTTATATTCATCATCGCCCCTTGAGGGCTCAGACACGGCTATTTTGACACTATAAAGTGTATTTAGCCATACGTTGGGTTTAATAACAGTAGGAGGAAACGGTAGATGGATCGGTAGGTTTATTGAAGTACAAATCTCATCCAGAAAAAAACCTCATTCATTGATGAAATTTTTGTCCAGAGTGGGATTTGAACCCCGGCCATCAAGATCTGTAGGCAGACACGCTACCGACAGAGCCATCATGTGGCTGTATATACATCTATTACCCCTCAAGAATTGCGTGAGTGGTAGCTTGCTAGCTCATACTATGTATGTACACATGTAGGACAGAGGTACTTGGATGCCACAGATCAGCGCAAGCTTCTCTTTTTTGCACAGTATCAATAAAATGTCCATTCCTTTTGCTTCAAATCAGTTATACAATATTTATTTACCATACTAATTATAATGAAAATACTATTTTTGTGGATTATTACGTAATAACTAATATGTACGACTCAATCCCTTTAAAATTATCCTTGGTTGACCTATCCTTTGCCAATGACCAGGTCGCTAGTAATGGATTTAATATAGGCTTCTAAGAGCCTTACCAATAATATATCCTTGATGTCACCTGTATCAAATATCCAATATGTTTGTTACTGAAGTATTGTTTTTGTATTTATTTTCTAATTTGTACATTTTTTACGAATGTAAAATTTGACACTTTTAATAAAGTTTAAAAATGATATTATATGCCATGAAACATCCTCAATCTTTTGTCAAAACAAATAACTGCAGTTTTTGCTAGCTACAGAGTTTAGCATTTATGAATATATGTTAAGTTAGATTAGATTTTTATTTTATTATAATGTTATTGCCAGATAAATTTTAAATAGTTTCGTAATCCGCATAAAACAAATGTATAAACTCTGAAAAGTTGGTCAAACAAAAATGATATCTTATGAAATTTTAAAACCTAATTTAAAAAATGCCTTGAACAAGTAATTCATTTCTAATGATAACATATTTTTATGGTCTCAACGTGATTATTTCATCAATTATTAGAAAAGTAGATTTTGCATTATTTTTATAAATTACACATTGTAGGTCATAAAAAAAGGTTTCGGTGATTCATTAAAAAATAAAAATCTGTTTGGCCGTTATTTGTGTGCTAGAAACTCAGTACTCAATACGTTAAGTGTGCGTATGAATTAAAAAAAAATAATCGCAATAAAATATATCTTTAGCTGAATTTTACTTAAACTCAATAATTAGTTAGCCTAATCGAAGTTTTTACAATTTGAAATAAAACTTTTTTTTTACCTTACCTAATCGTGTTATTGTAAAATAAAAAAAGCTATCTGCAGAAAAAAAATACTTTCATAAAATAGAGACATAAAAAATAGTAATCCTGTTATCACGACATTCGATTAATATTCTTTATTACATAGTTTTTTTAAGGAAGAATAATGACAAATAAATTTCACTTTTCGAGTGCAGTTCTTGAGTCAGCAAATTTTTTTTAAAAGTGAAAAAAAAATTTTATGATCAAACAAAAAATTTAGATCTATTATTAAATTACATTGGCGACTTAAATATCATTTGTTACTTTCAGGTTGTAAAGAAAAAAAAAAAAAAATACGGTAGGGAGCTTCCTCCGCCAGAAAATACGACTCAAGATGTATGAAAAAATCATACATATTTACAGTTCAAATTAAGACTTGTTAAGTGAATCGCTGATCTACAATTAACAATCAGTCATGAATATAAATAAAATACTAGTATTATTATTATTATTATAACTATTTGATTCATGACTATTCAATGCGAAAATAAAAAGTTAACGAAGGATGACCAGTTACTGTGAGTTTCCCTTACAATTATTGTATTATGGGTAATACTAATAAATAATATACTCGGAATAATAGTTCTCTCTTCATAATTATTTTTATTTAGTATTCAGAGACTTTGCCATTCTACAAACCAGCAAATACACGTGTTATTTTTGTTGTAAATCCCAACTCTACATCAAATTCTAAATCTTCAACCAGAAGAACTGCAACTGCGAGAAAAGTTTGAAAGAAAGTATGATGTGCATCTATATACCTACATCTCTTACATCACGGGTCATTACAGATAGAGACAGCTTCCTTTTCGTGCTTCTATCTTATGCACCTATAGACGTGGAATATAGCAGGTCAATTGCGCTTAATTGTTTTGCATCTTTTCCTTTTGCAGATATGCGCCTGCGCATGGATGTTATACCGAATACTCACCCACACAACTCTCTGTTTTTTAGCAAGTATATGTACAACTATACAGTATGGCATTATATATATATATAGTGGCACACATTCATTAATTCAGCAGTAAAATATGAAAGTAATGAGTTTTTTCCACTTCATTCACAGAAGTAGAGATAATACATTAACAGGCACACGCNACTTTTGATTACTGTAATGATTGCTGATGTATATTTTATGTAATTAATTTAGATATTTTGTAAACACACTATTATGACGTTGAAAATGTACTTTGTTGCTAACTGTTAACTTGACTTTATAGATAACGTAATTGTTTATCCGTATTATGTGATTACCGTCACGGCACGCAGCTCCTAGTGTTCCCTTAGCCGGTGATTTGCCGGGCGCAGTTCCCTTGTTAGATCCTGCACTCTCATGAGAGAGAAAAGTGATGTCTGCTAGTTAGTCTGTCGTCTGCAACAAAATATTCGGTACATGCATGTGCAGTATAAGAACACGTATAAAAACAATTCAACAGATTTTTAAAAATTATTTTAATTTATGTGAAAGGCGTCAAGATGACAACAGAAACAAATATAGTTATATTGTGTTATTCTAATTTCTCGAATAGCCTAATGTACCGTATAACGACGAGGTCTTATAGTTAAAGACCAATGATTCACTCAACATTCGTTATTTTTTATCAGCCGCTGCCACTATCGTTACTATTTATCACAACGATAGTGCTTTTAAATTCGTGCTATTGCTCGCTTGATATGACTGTTTATTAATTGTCTGGGTGACAAAGGTGACAAAATAAGATACACCAAAACAGTTCAAGTATTGAGTTACAGTATATATTTCCACTGCAAAAACCGATAGCATAAAAAAAGACTTCGATTTTGTACACAGCACAATATTTGAGAAGAAAAAAAAATTAAGTAAAAACCATCATGTAAATAACATGATTTGAACCGTTTGCACGGGACTCGAGTGTTTTCTAAAATCATTAAAATCTAAAATAATTTTAGTAATAAAGACAGAAAGTAATGACTCAATGAAGCCCCTACAAAACGTAACACATGTGGTTTTATGTTCGCTTCAAAAGCTGTGCCCAGTTAACGAGCGTAGCTATAAGTTGTTCAGAATTACGAATTGAATCGTATCGTTTACTGATGCTGCTTCTATTGGAGGTAAGTGAAATACGTATCTGCATGTGTTAAATCGACATTTTTTTCAAAAAACTCGAATTTCGAGTGTATTTTTATTGATGAAAACCTCTATTTTCCCATTTTGTGAAAATTTAAGGAAAAATCGACTTGAGGAGACGAAAAGAAAATGTTGGACTGCCCTGACAAGGCTGTACGCTTTTTCGTGTGCATAATATATTCCCACGTACGAAAGGAGAAAATGGAAAAGAGGGATTTTCAAAGATACTCGACATCGCTTAGACTTTGGAAATTCCTGAGCCTGTCCTCTTTCTCGCAGCCTACTGTTGAACTGCCTTTTGTGAACGCATCGTTCGTGGGTACGTCAGTGTAGTAATTTACGCGCTGGAAAAGCCTTTCGATCAAAGTTTCGAATATCACGCTGTTTTGGTCGTTCATTCGAAAGATATGGATCTCAACAAAGACGCGCATAAAGGTGAGAAGATACTGTTTATTCTGATCATTATGTGCAACATTAAGTATTGAAAACATTTAATTCACAACTGTCGGCTAGGAATTTTTTCATTCAAATTTTAAACATGTATACGCGAACTATTGCTGAAATGACGAATTAAATAAAATATCAAACTTGTATGATTTATTTGTACTTGTGATCAAAAGAATATCGCTGCATGTTACGCATACACCACACCATTGTGCTGATAAATTTTTAATAGTCGTTCGTATGTATTTTCGACGACGTTGTAAGTTTTTTTTTTAAATAACTTTTTTTTTTTATCTCACTCTTAGCTTTCAAAGTAGTATTTTTTCGAAAAAAAATAGTCGATCAAAATAAAAATATTTAAAAGCAGAAAACAAAGAAATTTCACAAAAAAATTTAAATTATTGTATGCAGATACGAAAATTGCGGTGAGGTCAAACTTATTTTTGTTATTTTCCAAGCATCTCAAGCTGCGGAGAAGGAAACGCAAAAAAATTCAATCAATGAGAATCACCACAGTGCAGTGCCAATTGATCCTCCACCACCTTATAATGAAGCCATAAAAATCCATCCGTATCAAGATTCAAGCTACTCAGCACCTCTACCGTACGCACCCTCATTAGAACCAAATAATGCGATTTCTTACCCTAGCAATAATTTTGTACCTAACAACTTTCCACAATCAGGTAATTCTACGATCACTTGCGTATGCAGTTATGCTCCAATTTTTTTTTTTTTTTTAATGTTAAAAACAATATAAAGAGCAAACTTGAGTAAAACTTAAATAATAACAATATGTAGGTGTGCCAAATGATGGAAGATTTCAGCAATGGGATAATAACGCAACGAGGATCGTAATAATCCATCGTTCGCAAATGAACGATCGGTTTGCAGCTGCAAAATCATCATGGGAAACAGAGTTATTATGGAATATTATATTGAACGATCTGTTGATCCATGGATATCATTTTACAGTATTCGATTTGATGCAGTACTGGGGATTTTTATTCCAAATGTACTCGAACATTTTGAGCGGTATCGCTTCAGGCGGGCACTACACCAATTGGGAGCACTTTTCGACAATGCACCAAGCATTTGGAAGCGACAGTGGTTCGACATTACTGGTAAATTGTACTCAGAACTCTAAGAATATAAGCTAAAAACGACTGACTTGAAATTATTAAATACTGTACCAATTCTTTGTTCATACCCAGGATGCAACGCCTATAAGTGGTTCTGGATTAACAGAGCTTCGTTACAATACTACAGCCCCTTTGGCAATGTCCAGTCCAGTAGAACTAAACTTAATGGAGAACTTGACACAGCCAAACCCTAATGTACCGCATGGCACTGGTGTCTTGCCTGCCGAACCATTACTGAACCCATTATCCACGTCGACTTCTACAGCTCAACTGTCTTCCAGCGAAGGAGTCCCATTGTTGCCCCAAAATTACGACAATCCCATTTTGCAGTCGGAAATCTTGTCTAAATCTAGTAAATTGGTAACGGAATCGTCTTCGGTAAGTTATCTGCTCAAGAATTTCCAAAATCAGAATCCATAGCGACTGCCGGTCGTCATAACGATTGGCATTTCTTACAGGATCCGCTGCCTACGTCTGCGACCACCCTTCTTCCTGCAAGTGCCACATTGCCCAACACTACCGTAATTCCTGCAACGTTGAACATAATGCCGACGGAGGCGAGCCAAGTGTCAAATAATACCCCTGACCTATTGCCGACACTGCCCGCAGCTCCTAGTGTTCCCTTAGCCGGTGATTTGCCGGGCGCAGTTCCCTTGTTAGATCCACAAGTGTCAGCTTCCGTAGTCAACGAGTCTTCCATCCAACAGTCCCTCAACATGCTACAACTCAATGATAGTGCCAACCTTCCCTCAAACGTTTGGATGAAGCCAGACGCGATCTTCAGCGAGCCGCTTGTGAGACCGGCATACCAAATGACCCTTACCGATCAAGCTGTCGCTGGTGCTGGAGAGTACGCCGCCAACTCCGGTAAGGCTCGCACTTGGTTGACGGTGCGTACACTCAGAGATGCGTTCATCGTTTATTTCATTTGGTCGGTTCTAGGTCCTATCGAGGATCTCCTGAAGTGCACACCACCTGTGGGACTGTCGGCCATTACCACGCAACCCGGTGTGATGTCCGCGACAAACGTACTCGAGGATGGCGGAGGTTTTATTACCAGTCAACCCATCGCTGACAATATCCCAACGGTCGATTCTTACGACAACGATTACGGTTGTTGCGACAACTGCTGCGACAGCTGTTGCGGCGAGGACTTTTGCTGCGACGATTGCTACTGCGAGGGCGGTGACTGCGACTTTGGCGACTGCTAGGGTAAACATACACAGGAATCAGCAATAATGCGTTACATTGGTTTTTTTTGTTCACACCAATGGCTAAAACTATAAATGCCTTTTTTTATTTATTTTTTTTTTTAATCAGAAATGTCGCACAGTTTCGACTGGAACTCAACATTTATTTATTTATTGATTTTTTTTTGTTCTTTTTCAATAACTAGTCACATTTTTTACCAGAAACAAATAGCGAGTAGTACATTATTTTTCTCTGACCATGGGTGCAAACGCAAAGTGGTTAGTGAGCTCAAGGTGTGCCCACGAGCGCAAAACGGCACTTTGAGCCCTCAGTAAAAAGAACGCGTGGATTGCAACTCGGGCACAAACGTATACGACAATCGTGCCCTTCTTTACTTTGTATATTAAATCAAAGAAAAAATATAAGACGTACAAAAGGAAATTTGAATCAGGTATGAATATCACGTGTAATGCCCCATACTGCCCACAAAATTCGAAGAGCAAAGTAACGGCCTCATCTCATCAAGACGATAAAGTATTTCTTATTTTTATAGATGCATGAAAATTTTTGTATTTTTATGATCATTGACGATCGAATTATTAGAAATACGATGAATTGCCCTAGTGTTTTCAACTGACTAAGGCCACAAACTTCAAATATCTTCACTGCCGACTTTTATGATTATGATATAAAGTAAACTTGAAACTCACGTCATGTGGTTTTGATCATAAAGATATTTAATAATTATTTTTCACAGAATATTCTTAAAGGTTCTGTAATAGCATGTATATTTATTTACTCTGTTTAAATTCCTTGGTTTTGATAATGTTAATAAAGTTCAAACAATGTTTTAAAACGAGCTTATCAAGAATGCCTTTATGTATTTTTTTATAGTAAAAATAAATTCAAACGGATGAGCAATAAACTCCATGAAAATAGAATTGAAAATCTTATTCAAGTTCCATTTATCAATTGATATCTGATTTTAAAATACCATCAAAGTTCATTTTCTCAAGAATAATCTATTAAAAATAGGTTGCTTTTTTTTAATCATCAATTTTTGGAGAGTTATAAAAACACAAAAATTTTTGTTATTTAAATACCAATAAAGATATTAGAAATTTTTGAACTATGAAAGATACCATTTTTTAACGAAAAAACTATGCGTAAAAAAATTTTAGAATTTATCAAAGAAAAAAACTAAATATTAAATTTTTATTAAACAAATTTGATAATGAATTTCAAAATTTATAAATGAGATGTGATGAAATAGATGCTCACAAATAATACAAATAAGATTGTAATAAATTTTAATGAAGCATGAAAAAAAATTACATTTCTGAATCAATAATTTAATAAACTTTACAAGCCATGAAAATGAAGAAACTAAAAATTTTATATGGCTCGACTTCAAGTCTAGTATATTAATAAATTACTGGAAAATTGTTAATAATACTTTATTAATCATGATGAAGGATTAAGTTTTATAGAAAGCCTTGGTTTCATTTTTTCGTAATTTTATTCAAAATTCAAAAAGCAAGGGTTTATTTAAATTATAATGAATCGTTTCAAACTAATTATTAACTAAAACAATTTTTTATTGAAGATGCGTTTTTAACTTATTTTTTGATAAACATAAGGTATAAGTTCTTATAGCTTCGTGTGGGGAATTTTGAATATATGATTTTAATTAAATAATTGATTTCGTTGAACCAAACTATCAAAAAATGAGGGTCAGATAGTATAGAGATAGGCTTATAATTCAGCAACATTGAATTTAATTCAAGCCTATATCTCAACTAATCTATAAATTTATGTGTAAGCAGAATAAAAGTAAAATAGCTCAGGACTCCTTTACATAAATTTAATAAATATGTTGTTAAATAAATGTATGAGATAAATAAACTGTAATATTTTAATTCTTATTTGAAAAACGGATATTGCTTATAAGTCTGAAATGATACAGCATTTTTATTTTTTAATTGTGTAAAGTATAAAAAATTATTTTTCTTAGCTTTAGTTAACAAAAAACTTTTGATTACTGTAATGATTGCTGATGTATATTTTATGTAATTAATTTAGATATTTTGTAAACACACTATTATGACGTTGAAAATGTACTTTGTTGCTAACTGTTAACTTGACTTTATAGATAACGTAATTGTTTATCCGTATTATGTGATTACTTTTTGAGAGTTTAACGAAAATAAAAAAATTAATTTATATAGAGCCTTATACAGTATTCCTTAGCGAACAATGTTAAAAAGCAATCGTATAATAGATGATAAGTTTAATAAAACCATAGGTATGATCAAGAAAAATTAAAAAAAGAAACATAGCTAGTAAAGTTAATTATTTTCATAAGCTAAGTTGAAATATTAATAGGACTAAAGAAGATTTGTGTTTTAAAAACTATGAAAATTATTGATTAGTTATCATTGATTAGTTAAACAAAAATCAATTAGGCCTAACGATAAATTAAGGCAATTTTACGAACATTTTAATGTGAAAAGTTTTTATTTTAAGTGTAAAACTCTATTTTATTTTGAAACATTTTATAACAATATAGTCATAACAGTTTTACAAACTGTGAGATTTAACTTCTATGCTGGATTTTGTGAAGTAAAATTGACTGGCATTTACACTAACAAATATCTAAAATACAATTGTCATTTATGTGCCAAATAAAGATAAAGAGTACTCAAGTTTTCTTAGAAATAAATCGACTGAAAGTTGTTATTTTTTTAATACCATCTACTTAAAGATAGTGTAGAAATAAATGATTTGAAATCATTATTTTTGTAACTACGTACTTCAAAGAGGACAGTATTAATTTATTTTATCCAATCACGTACAAAAATCTTATCAGCACTGTGAAATGTTACCAGTGATAGATTTAGGGTATCAAACAGAATTAAATAATAAGCTTACAAAGATCTGATAATTCAAATCGAATACCTATTTCATATTTTACTCTGATTTATGTCGATTAGCCGATGAAAATATTTTTCCTTTAGATTTAATTTGAATCAATTGTAAAATTTTGTTTATACTTTTATGTTATAAGTAAAATATTTTTAAAAATGAAGTAATTTAAAAAATACATAAACTCTTTATTTGGAACAGTTTAGATAAAAATTAATTTTTAATGTAACAAAAGTACTATTAAGTTTGGCGTCAATTGATCAATTCCTGTCGGCAAATACGTTAGTACAACTAATAGGATTTGTATAGTACAAAAGTGTTTAGTATAAAAACAAATATATATCACGAAGATGAAAAGTGTGTAGAATGACTACATGTGATAGATGTGGTAGCAGAATATTTATTAAATATAAAAATTAAAATTTTATTTGATGTTGAAATTTAGCAAAACCGCTATCGCGAAATACACGGTTTGCTAAATTCTAAAAAGTAAATGTATAACATAACAATAAAATACTGTATTAGCTGTCTTAGTTACCCCTTCTTAACTGTGTTATTTATTTCAGACCGTAAAAATGCTTGAAATCATAAATAGCGCAATGTCTTGCATCACTGGACAATTTGAAAAAGTACATAAAATATTCGACTAAATCATGAATTACTAACAGTTAAAAAGCTTGTTGTCAATTCAGTTGAGAACTTTTAGTTGATACATTTTCTGTAAACAAAAAAAAAATTTTTAAACCAAATTGAGAATCCTAGCCATGATTTATCTTAACATATTATTTTCGACGTACATTGTGTATCCATATATGTAATTTAGCAATAGGTAACAGTACTGGCTACTAAAGCAATTCGTACCATATTTTTATGTATGTATACATTGAAATAATGCCTTGTACATTTTATGTTGAAATTAGAAATAAACATTGAAACAAAAGATAATTGAAGAACACGTTTATAGTTTTTGTAAATGTATTACAAAAACTTATTACAATCCCTTATACAGAAAAGAGAAAAATAATTTATAGTGGAATAATGTGAAGGATTTTACTGCACTGTTTAATTCAAATGTGATTCACAAGTAATAAAAATAGATAAATAAATGAGTAAGCAAATAATGCTTGTAAATTATGATGAAATTAGTGTCCGAAGATTTTTCTAAAAATAAAAAAAAATTTTTCACAATAGTGATTAATTTACTTTTTTATCCAAAAGAAAAAATAATAAAAAGGAGATTGATGTAAATGTATTACGAAATTTAGTTAATTATCTACGTACACGCGGAGTAGATGTGAAAAGAAAAATAAACATAATATAAGCCATTATTGTACTGATATAAGAATTATTTAACACAACTGAGATTTTGAAATTAAGTATACATCTGATCATTTAGATGACTATAATTCAAATAGATTATTTGTAATGGATTTTATAATATAAACATTTTTTTAAATTAAATTTATAATTTGCATTCTAAATAATATTTAAAAAATATCTAATACAAATTGGAATGTTGAAATATTCATCAGCAGATTTGAAAATACGCGCGAAGCGCAATCAACATAGATAGTGTAATATATACTGAACATCATTTAATTTTTTGTAAAACTATCGGAACAGATTTAAAGTATATAAAATAGTTAAAAATTTTTCTAACTTTCCATTAATATGCTGTAAAAAACCCACTTAGAGGATCACCATGATTTAAGCGAACAAATGAATAATAATTTAATTTTTATTAACAGCTAATTGTTAACCAATTTAAATATACCTTCACTCAATCATAATGACTACAAAATATTCATAAATAACGAATTTTTCATGCTGCGAAATCAGTAGCTTATGACATAAGTACAATCCTGGTGACTATTGTGAGATGCTGTCATCAGCTGTAACATTTGACACTTGCTTCTCGCTGACTCTATAGAGTATGCAGTGTTTTGATGCATCAGCTGGAATGGAACGATGAGCAGTTGTCGGTGATCACGTGGTACACGCTCCATATTAATCAGAATATTTGTTATTGCGCAACTTGTTTGGAGTGTCGTGTTTTTTTACGAAATACATACGCAAATGGACGATTACGGAACGCAAGGTAATTTGATTTTTTTCGCGTATTATCAACGTCTATTGGATGAATATTGAAAACAATCTATACTTGATTAGATAAAACGCTTGTAGTGACATTTTTGTCAGTTCAATCATGATTGGTGCTTAAACATCAAAGATTAGTTTATTTGCTTGAAATTTTTACGTTTTTACTAAATTGATTCATTGCAAAGTATTAAAAATGTATCATTATTATTAAAATATGAATTTTGAACAAATTTATCCTAACGTTGTTGCCATAGATCAAATTTTTTATTTGCAATAATGTAACAGTAATTGGTAAAAAAAAAATGTGTAGATACGTCAAGTTACGGAAATAATTATGAGTCAAATACATCCAACTTCAGTGATGGCAATTATCAAGGATATACTCATCACTACACTGATACAAGTAATGATTATTCACCAACACAGGTAACAAATTTTAATTTTGTTGAAAAAAAATCGTTAGCTAATTTTTAATTATTAATTTGAGTCACAGGAAAACAAATACTCCACATTATCGGATCAAAACGATGTATGTACCAATACATATGCCTCTTCCAACCATGACTCAGATTTCACTGACACAGTAAAGCACTCTCTGTCTCCTGACTCGCAAGAATCAACCCCTCAAAGTGAAACAGAAAATTACAAATGGTTGGATCAAGAAAATTTAAACTTCAACGACAATGATCAAAAAGATGCTTATCAACCAATCATAAGTAATGAACCCAAGGCTAATGAAGCAAAATTTATGGAGAAAAATGAGGATAATGCAGATGATAGTGATTGCTGTTACTGCAAAAGTGAGCCTCTCATGTGCCTAGCAACATTTTGCGAGTGCCTTTGCTTCTAATGACATGTTAGTGCAATTAATATTTTTCACTCACAATTTGTGCACCTTGTAAAAAAATTATCAAATTCATATTAGTTCCAGATAATCAACAACTTAAACTTTTGTTCATGGATGGGTTTGAAGTATTTTTCATAAGTGTTAGAATTTATTACACGTTTAACAGTTATTACCACCATGATACAAATAACATTACACAGAGAGTAAAAATTGCGTGTAGAAATTCACTTGATAAAACCAGATCAATTGACTTTACCCGTCATCCTGAAGGAAATTATTAGTATTAAAAATTGTAATTTTGTATAGTATTTCCAAAATATTACATATATTTTGTACTTTTATATTAACTGTCAAATCGATATATATATATA